AATTAATTTTTAAAGATTAATTAACAAGTAGTTAACAAATCCGCCGGAAATCCGCCGGAAAAACAACCTGTTTAATTTTTTCGACGGATTTTCTGGCGGATTTCCGTCGGAAGTCAATAAAAGTCAATTTTTTGACTTCTGCCGGAAATCCGCCGGAAATCCGCCGGAAATGCCCAGTTTTCTAGTAGTGAACTAGGTGTATCTCTGTGAGACAAGGGGTAAGAACTAGGTGTACGTGAGTGATACAGGGGAGAAGAACTAGGTGTCTATGAGTGAGGCTTGTTTTTTCATACATTTTGGCTCCTTATTAACTGATATTGAGTGCATGAATTTAAATACTCTCCTATCTATAAAACAGGAATATCATCTCAATTTATAATCAACTTAGAATTTTGGTTCTAAGATTGATGGTTCCTAAAAGTTATGTTTTAACCCTAAATGTTTAAAATGATGATGACAACATTAGAATGAGGTGACATGGAAACCTAATTGATTTATATTGATTTACATATAATATTACTTCGAATAGTCAACATTGTGACCAATGATGTCAATTTATATATTAAAGGTATATCATATGACATGTTCAACAGTGGAACGAATTTACGGTGCTATGTAAGAATGATGTGGTAGATAATATTAATTTTTAAAAATAACTATTGATTGATTTTAAGTCTAGAAATACTCAAAAAGATGGGTTTTTATGAATTATTAGTATTTATTGAATTCAATGTTATTTTTTGTGATAAAAACAATATGTTAAAAAATATAGTACTTATTAAGGGTCATTTTTTACATCTCGCTCATGACATATAATAAAATGTCAAGAACGAGCCTGGTGAAACTGTGATATCAATTGGCCATAGACTCACCCAACTTCTTTCCAAAATAATAATGCAATCAGATCGTCACATATTCGAGAGTAGTAGCAACAGAAAAGAGAAGACTTAGGACCTGAATTCTGAAGAATAAAGACACGTGGAGGAGTGACGCTCGAGACTTTTTTTTTATTAACCTGGATATTCAACTCGCTATGCGAGCCGACTAATCCCATGACGTCCACCCGCTTCGTGGGTAGCTCAGAGTCACCGCATTTAAACTTCCGTGGCCACAAAAGGGATTCTTATTCCTCCTTGGATTCAAACGTGAAACCTCCAGATATTTTGACCTTTGAAGTCCAAGCTCAAACTAATCGGACACTATCCTTATAGTTGCTCGAGACTTTTTATGATCATTGATCTATACCATTTCTCTCTAAGTTTATTACTTTGAAATGTTCCGTTACGATGAACTAATTAGACTTTATGATGTGATTAATATGAACACTATAATTACTTACAAACCGGATACTTGCATATACCTTTAATTAATATTCAATCAAATCTCTTTCTCTTTCATCCGTTATTCACCAATCAGTTTACACCAATGGTTTCTTTCTCCCCAAGATTGCTTTTCACACACATCAAGGAGAAAGTTGCATGCCTATCCTATGCTGAATGAGTAGCAAAACCAGACCAACTCTTGTTTAGAGGCTCTTTACCTAAATGCTTACCCGGTAAGTGCTTACCGTTATGTGTCAACACTATAATCTATTTTCTAGGTAAGAATGTAGTATATCAAAATGGTATCATGTGCAACAGTATATATGGTAAGCGCTTACCCGCGTAAGAGTCGTCACCCTCACTTACCCGGTAAGACTCTCTATCATTGTCATCGCTCTTACCAAGTAAGATTCTTAGATCTTGCTATATTCGTCCAGTGAGGAAAATTACCCGATAAACACCTATTGGATAAGTGTTTAGTAATCCTTAGTCTATAGGGACACAACTATATCCTTGGTCTTCCAAATATAAGATTATTTACAAAGCAACCCCTAAACTTCTATAATTATTACACTTTTGGAATAAAAACTAAACAAGTTATTACATAGATACATGCATAGGAATCTAAGTTATTAAACAAAATACCACTTATTTTAACTAGCTAGAGTTAATTAAAAAAGAACTTAGCAGAAGTTTGTAGAAATATCAAATATGTAATTGACTGCTATAATAATTAATATAAACCACAAGTGTAGCGTCTGATTGGTTTAAACTTGGGCTCCAAAGGTCAAAAGTGTCTTGAAGTCTCTAGTTCAATTCCAATGTAGAATAAAAATCTTCTCATGGCCAAATAGGTTCAAATGCGATGACTTCGGACTACCTGCAAAGCAGGTGGTCGTCTTGAGATTAGTCGGCTCGTATAGCGTTTTAGATATTCAGGTTAATTAATAAGAAAAAACCAGTATTATGCATGTTTGGTGTATACGTGCTTTGCTTAGATAGTTTGAGTAGCCACCTGCAAAGAAAAAACAGTTCTAGAAATCTTGAAAAACAAAGCTCCAAAGAAACTTATAATCGAAGCAAACTCCTTTTTTAAGTCGTAACACAAACAAAAGAGAACACACTTGAAATTAGGACTAATAAGATACCGCCATGGATATGTTAATTAAATAATGTATATGCTCAATTTTGTTACATAGGAATCATATATATTACGGCACTTTTTTTTCTTTTTATTAACCTGGAAATCTAACCCGCTATCCGAGCCGACTAATCCCAGAACGATCACTTGAATTGCAGATAGCTCGAAGTCACCGCATTTGAACCTTCGTGGCTACAATGAGATTTTTATTCCTTATTGGATTTGAACCTGACACTTCCAGATACTTTTGACATTTGGAGTCAAACTCAAACCAATCAGGCACCATTCTTGTGGTTCATATTACGACACTTTAATTTCATTAACTTTATATTTTTCCAACTCTTTTAAAAATATTTTTTGAAAATCAGTTGCATGCGTTTTTTTCTTAATCAATAAGCCAACATGCTTACTTACACCTTTCTACCAAATTCACTGAATTTTTATATGTTCATAATTCATATAAATGATTTTCATTAAAGCAGTTATGATTTTCTTGTAAATTAAAATAGTTTATGTAAATCATTTTCTTATTCTTTTGAAATTAATAAATATGTTATATATTATCTATACTATCTTATTAAGCAAATTCATCAAAAGTCTTAAAGTCTTAAAATTCTAAATGACCAAAATACTCTTTTCACTTTTTCACTCTTTCCTCTCCTCACATACACCCACTCCCTCACATACATTCACCTCTCCATTCAACGATTTTTTTTTTTAAATTATAATTTTAAATTTATACTTTATATCCCTATAATTAATTAATTAATTACTTTACATCTTTTACTTTTAAATGTTTCATTTTAAACCTTTATCAAATTAACATACATAATCGTATATCAAATAAAACATGTTTAAAAAATACATTTTTGTTTTAACAAGTTACACCATTATAATCGTTTTGTTAATACCTTCGAAATGAGTCCAATATTGAATAGTTTTTTACTTAATTATATTAATATATATTATATATACTGTGAAAAAATATTTTTAATGGTTACGATTTATACTTTTATAGTTATTTATTTATATATATGCTATACATTTTGGGGTTAGACTGTCCAAATTGCACTGTATAATATGTTTTGAATTAATATGTTCTTGGGTTTTTTTGAAATACATATATGCATGTATTAATTCAACCTTAATCTGAGCTTCTGGACAAGAAAGAGGGTTAGCAGTTGAAATTTCATTCTAAAACCCATTTTTTTTTGTCTTTTCATGGCTTATGATATGTCAAATTTGTAGTTTTCTTTATTGGTTTTGAGTGTTTATCTTAAAGCTCAAGTTTCTTGGTTCTTTGCTCTTGATGTAAATCAAACACATTTGTGGAGTCGTTTAAATATGTTGGATTTTAAACTGTCATACAATTTTTTTCATCGATAGTCTGTAATTGGAACCATAACTCTTATTTATTCAAATTTTATTAATATGTAAAGACCAAGTGTAACATATATCATCGTCAAATCTTATCTTATAAAACCAGTGAAACTTTAAAATCGTTAAAATTCATGGCTCCCGCCGCATTACGCGGGTATACAACTAGTTCAAATAAAACAAATTTTTATTTGTTCACTAATTAAACTTTGTATTCTTAATTAGTAATAATTAACAAAAAAATATAGCATTTCACAAGTAAATTAAATATAGTTTTAAAAAATAAAATATTAATAAGAAAATTGTAATAAAATGACAGAGACAAAACCAAATTAATAGTAAATAAAATGCTTGAAAAGATGTAGAGGCTGTTTGATATTGCTGAATGATTTGATACAGAATGATTAAGTGGTCGGAATGATTAAGAGCCTCTCATGATATAATGCAAAATGAAATATAATTGTCTGATAATTGTTTACAGTGAAATTAGGATGTTGAATGGTTAAGGGAGAACCTAGATACAAAATCATTCAGAGAGTTTTAGAACAATTAAGAGACATACTTTTTTTACCAAACAAGATTCATCTCTTAACAATTCAGATGTTGACTTTTAATAAAACTATTAAGAGATAAACAAACAACCCCATAATATCATTTGTACACATTTTTATATTTATTAAAACGGCATAAAAGTAAATAAATAAATAAAAAAAAAAACGGCGAAAAAGTAAATAAAACATAAATGTTGGTGGATGTATCTTCAAGGGTCAACAATTTCCGTTGGTTGCCACCACTCGTAAGGAAAGTGTTGCAGAGAGTCAGGCTGACTATTTAAACGCCACCGCCCTCCTCCACCATTTACTTCCGCCATTTCCCTACCTATTCTCCTCCTGCTTAGTTTTTATCGCCATCAATCTCTTTTCTTTAAAGTCATCATGGATGACACTGCCACTGGTCATCACCTCCCCCAAGATCACCACCATGATACCAGTATTACTAATAACCACCTCCATTCCACCTCTGATTCTTCTCCTCCCACCGCCACCACCTGCTCCGCCGGACTTGAGACTCGATCCTCTCCGAACAGGAAAGGTAAAGGTAAGGGAGGTCCGGATAACAGCAAGTTTAAGTACAGAGGAGTTAGACAACGTAGCTGGGGCAAATGGGTTGCTGAGATCCGTGAGCCACGTAAACGCACGCGCCGCTGGCTTGGCACGTTTTCGACCGCTGAAGATGCTGCGCGGGCTTACGATCGAGCCGCGGTTATCCTCTACGGTTCGAGAGCACAACTCAACCTTCAACAGACCTGCACGGATGGGAATACCACCAGCTCGACTTCCTCTTCACACTCTTCTTCCTCTTCCTCTTCTCGTGGCGGAAGTGGGAGCTCTTCTTCCTCCACCACTCAAACTCTCCGACCGATACTCCCACGGCCCGCCGGTTTCAACCTCAACTTCTCAAACTCACAAGCACCGCCATCCCCTCTGCCGGTTTTTGGTAATTATTTGCCTTATGGATTAATCTACCCCACCGTACACCAGGGTACAAATGGCAGTGATGATAGGTGTACTGGTAATATTGTACCATATCCACTGCAAATGGTACAACAACAGCAGGAGTACTTGCCTTACACCAACACAAACAACATCACTGTACTCACGGGTGAGGACCCCACTTTTCGTGGAACAACAATGTTAACCTCCTTTGATGCAAACCCTAACCCTAACCCTAACCCTAGAAGCAATTTGGAAAAACTCCGACAATCACCGCAACAGTATCGAGACTACCAAGGGAATGGTTACGAGAAGGACGATGATGAGATAAAAGCATTGGTGGGTTCGGTGGGATCAAGCCTTTCTCTTATATCAAGCGCTTCGCCGCCGATGGGGATCGGAGAAGCAGTGTCAGATCCCACAGTGGTCGGCGGTCCGACATCGCCATCTTTATGGTCGTACACGCATGATGATGAGTACCCACCTCCCTGTATTTGGGATTACGGTGATCCATCTTTTGATTTTTGAAGGTACGTTCTTCGTGAAAAGTAATTTACAGTTGATAATTAATCTTGCATGCCTGAGATCGACGAAGCTTCGATCTTGAATTCGAGATTTGGGAATCAAGAAAAGGTGAGGAAGAAACAGAAGCTGCAGATTTTTAGTTGAATGTCGTTGATAAAAGATTTCTACATGTTACGTGATTGATTTGAAGAGGTTGGTAGGTGATCATCTGATTCAATTAAGTACCCAACTTATTTTGTTTATAGGATATTATTCTTGTTACTCCAGAGTTTTAAGCCCATCTTAACTTTTGGCTTAATGAATTAAGATGGCCGGAAATAACATCTCTATGTTATGTTTTTTTCTTGATTTGTATTTTGTTGTAAATTTTAACCAAAAAAAAAAAACAGTTATTAGTTATGTGTTCAATCATGTATTATTACAACATCAATGATATATTATTTGTGTTAATTATGTTATTAAGTTATTCAGGATTTTTAGGTTAGATTGTTCACCATGCATGCATTTTCTTTAATCGTTATAAAACTTATTTAACGATAATTTGGTAACGGTTATAAACTGATATTTTCTAAGGGGGTGTTTGGTTAGAGGTATTAGAATGTAAGGAATGAAAATGGCACTCGTTAATAATTTGTTCAAACAAGGAATAGAAATGGAATGAAAGGTTTCAGAGAATTAATCGATTATTATAATAGATTTAGGTAAAAATTGTTCCTTCTCAATTTTGGGGGAGTAAAAAAAATTCACGTTCCTTTTAAAAAGCCCTTTTCTCGTTCTCTTTCTTCCACTTCCGGTCTTTCATTTGTGAAACCCTAACCCTACCCCCCACATAGCACCTCCAAATACGAAGATGATTTCGATTTTGAGTGCCCTCAGGATCCTCTACAGCTGTGCTTCCCTCTTCTATAGATCTAATGAAGAAGATGATCTTGAAATCAAGAAGATGAAGCTCTCGGTCTTAAGTGCCCTCTTCGGAAACTCTGGTTCCCTCTTCGACAGCTCTAAAGAAGATGAAGATATATAAAGATCTCGAAATCAAGAAGATGAAGATCTCGATCTTGAGTGCCCTAGCTATTTGACAACTCCAGTGCCCTCTTCAACAACTCTATAGAAGATGAAGATGAAGATCTTGATTTCGAGTGCCCTCTTCGACAGCTTTGGTTACCTCTTCGTCTTTCTCTATAGATATTTGTATTTGGTGTTTTGGAGATGCTTGATGTGTTGGAGATGGAAACGTGTTGTAGGAAGAGGAAGATATGTGTTGTGATGGAGATGGAGACTAGATTTTTTCTCTCTTGAGGTAAGGAATGTAAGGGAATCCATGATAATATAATACAATGAGATAAACATAATCATTCCCATTCTATCTCATTTTCATTATCAATTTCATTTTCATTCCTTAAAATAAACCAAACACTCCCGAAGAACTAGGGTTCATGCAAGTGAAATCCTTTTCACTGCAGTTGAAGTTCTACTAATTGTCGATGTCCTACTAACTAACGTAAAAAAAAATAATCTAAACTATTTAATGAGTTCTATTTTATGTTATGTTATGTTATGTTATGATTGATATTGATTTATGTTTGGCTATTAGTATGTTTGAAGTATTTCCAACAACTATGCTATAACTTTTTTTATAATAAACTATGAAAAGTCAAAATTTTGAATTTTTTTTTTTACATCAGACTCCAATAGTTAACTCTATTTTAATGATTCTAGTATTAATTATATTAATAAAATATTCAATATGTTTAATAAAATATTATTTCTTTTTCTTACATATCTAACTTCAATAATTTTAATTGGTTGGATATAACTAAAATATTATTTCTCTTTCTACCATATGATTTTAGAGATTTCTCTAACGTAACGGTTTTTAAGAGATGTTGAAGTCTGAAGTCTGATTTTATTTCTGACTTTGGAATCTGAATCAGTCAGAGTAGCCAGACTGTTTGTTTTTATGTCTGAAGTTTGAAATCTGAATCAATAATACTGTTTATTTTTGTAAACTGACAAACGTTTGAAGTCTAAAATCTGAATCAACTCATTTTCATTAAATTCAATTGAACTGAAATATCAAATCATCTAAACAATTTGTAAACTACTATCTACTTTTTAACACATTTAAAACTTCAATTGAAATACGTCAATTGATTCCACACACAATATTAAACACGAACAAAGTCTCAGAACAACTAGAATCAATATTCATTTTGCATTAATTATGTCGCAATTTCTTCTCTTCAACTAGCCGTAATATGTTTCGTCAGCGGCACTTCCATGTGATTGAACCTCTTCCGCCTCCTCCTCACCATCATCCCATTACCTGTTGGTTTGATCATACTTAGAATGGGTCATGTTACACTGCAACAACATTTCTGCAGCCTATAATGAACTATGTACATAAAGTCCAAATAGGTCATGCATTCTGGTGATTTCTATTGACACATATTTGTTAGCATGACTGTGCTTCCTTCAGACTTTAGATTGTTTATTATTACATAAGGTCTTATTAATCGGTATATTTGTGCTTTTGCTTTGAAAACAAAAACAGAAAGAAGAAGCTTCATAAAGCATTAATGTCAGTAGCAAAATCCCATTATTTTTAAAACCTTTTGGTTGTTAATATTTAAGATACATGTCTTATTTTTAATCTAATGTCAAAGTTTGTTTCATACCTAGAACAAGGTTTACAAAAGCCATCTTCCTTTAGAACCTTAATACAATTTGTGTATAACTAATATAAGCGAAGTGTTATCCAATGTTTCAAATGAACTATATATCTAAGGGTGATAGAGTATGTTGGTGATTCTATAGAGATATTAGACCTTATGATTGATTCTTATTTGTATTATTGTTTTTGTATGCATCTATTATCAATAGTTAAAATTGGGTTCAATCTTGAGATACATCAAATTGACTGGTTCAATCCAGTGATACATCAAATTCGACTGGTTCAATCCTATATAATTAGTGGACAAGACTTCTGTGTGAATTGGTCACTAAATGACATAGTGTTAAATTATAAGCTAGTACCTGTGTTAGTTTCTCTCAATTATATACAGGAGCAATTATGTAACTGTCTTACATAAAATAGTTGCATTATATGGGTGTGTCTTTTAGAATAGTCACAATGGTTGTTGAAGGGGTATGTCCCTTCTTGTCTATATATATGTATGTCTCTGTAACTCATTCATTATAGTTGTATTATTAATCAATAAAGGTAATATATTTGGTTATATACTCTCTGTATCCAACATTGTGATATCAAAGCCAATGCATCAATGGCCTCGACTTCAAGTAATCCTTTGCATTTTCAACTTCCCAAATTAAATGGGAAAAACTATCATCATTGGAGCATAGAGATGAAGGTTCTATACGAGTCACAAGATCAATGGGACATAGTCGATCAAGGTTTTGATGAACCAGAAGATTTTGATGAATTAACTCAAGATCAAGAAGAAGACTTAAGGTATTTGAAGAAGAAGGACATGAAAGCACTTTATACAATTTACTAGGTTGTGGATGAAGTCATTTTTGAGAGAATTTCATCCTCAAATTCATCGAAGGAAGCATGGGATATGCTTTACTGAACCTATAGAGGGGAAGACAAAGTGAAAGTGGCGAAATTGCAAACTTTAAAATGCGAGTTCGACAGTTTAAGAATGAAAGATTCAGAGACTATCACTAACTCAAAATGCCACTTAGGCAACAAATGAAAAATGTTGCCTAAAAGGGGCTTATATGTTGCGTAAGGCTTAGGCAACAAATTCGTGTTGCCTTCTCAATGTTACATATTCTGTTTGTATGTGTTGCCTAAACGGACTTCTTAGGCAACACACAAAAGGTTATGTTGCCTAAGTAAAAAACATATGTTGCATAAGGTATCCGCTTTGACAACATACTCTATTTGCATATGCTGCGTAAGCTGTCCGCTTAGATAACATAATCTATCTGCATATGTTGCTTTTAGATATCAACTTAGGCAACATAATCTATCTGAATATGTTGCTTTAGATATCAGTTTAGACAACATACTCTATTTAGATATGTTGCCTTTGAAATGTAATTAAAATAAATATAATATTTCTTTTAGGCAACATTTATATTGTTTAATTGTTGTCCAAGGTTTTTGTATACCATGATACAGTTTTTTATACTTGCACACTTTCTACAAATGAATCTCATAAACAAGCAAACAAACATGTTTTCTACAAACAAGTAACCAAATGTTTTATACAAACAACTTTTATAACCAAATAAAATTAATAAGTTTAATAATTGAAAGATAATTGTTTTTCCTAAATAAGTTTAAAAGTAGGCAACAAGTCAATAACACAAAATTAAAAATTTAACCTAAAGCGTGAGAGGTCGGGGTTGTTGAGTTAGAGTTTGAATCAGAAGCAGCCAACATACTCATCAACAATTGTATCATCTTTCTTTGCTCGGCGGCTTCCTTTTTTGCGTCATTTTATCCCTCTTTTAGTAAGCGAATCTCCTCGTCGCGTTCGACAAATTGTTGTCGCAAATCTTCCTTATCAACCGAAGATACCGGCTTAAGAGAATTCCTTCGCCGGTCCTTTCATCCTCACAGGTCGAACCGCCAAACTACCCATACCTCGAACAACCGTTCTTATCGACAGACCAACAATTTGCTCGATGATTGATATTTCTTTTTCGATTGGGCAACGAATTTGAGGACCAACAGATTCTGGAATGCCATCAAAAAGGTTCTTAATCTTCTCAATTTCTTCCTCAACAAGTTTCTGTAAATAAGATTTAAACAGTTGTTTTAATTACAATTACATGTTTTTCGTCAATCATCCCTCTTTAATGAGTTAAAATGATAAAAAATGAACTACATTAATGTGTTTTTATATTTTTAAAGGTTTGGAAAAGTTGGAACGAAAAAGGGATAAAAGAATAATTTTTGACAGCTTTGCGAGACTATGGTATTTCGAGCATATCTCACTCGTCTGAGCTCGAATTTAAGTGATTAAAGATGATCTGGAAATCTAACAAACGGTCATACGACTTCTAAGTTTTGAGTTTCTGTAAATTTAGGATCAATATAAGCTAAAACGGATGTCAAAGGTGAAAAAGTGATGTTGGACAGCAAAAGAAAAAAATATACAAATTATGATCGCACGAAAATAAAAGCTCAAGTTTACGAAAATAAAAGCTCAAGTTTACTTACTTTACAGTCTTCACTTGTAGTGGTTTCGGAAACTATACCGAGATAAGGAGCCACATGTCCGGTAGCTTCAAGGTTATTAGCCCCTAAACCGGAACAAAGTCGGTCCCGATTTACGTTCGATCCTATTTTTTGACAACCTTGCTTCCTCGTTCTCTTAATTTATTTTACAACATGAGAAACACTTATTTTACAATCTAAACTCAAAAAAAATAATATATATATT